CATTTCCTATTCTTCAGTATTCACATTCTTTCCAAATCTTTTTGCCATTAAAAGGAATTCCGGCCCTGGTTGGTTTGGCTCGGTGGATGGAGCATCAGCCTGCAGAGTGAAAGGTCCCAGGTTTGATTCCAGTCAAGGGCACATGCCAGGGTTGCAGGCTGGATCCCCAGTAGGGGGCGTGCAGGAGGCAGCCGATCAATGATTCTCTCTCATCGTTGATATTTCTATCTCTCTTTCCTCTCTCCCTTCTTCTCTGAAATCCATAAAAAAATATATATATATTTTTTTAAAAGAATTCTGACCGTTGCATTGGGCTGATAAGAGTAGAAATGAGGGAGGGTGTCCATTTGGGGGGTCTCTTTGGCATTACAAGCGACCTCCTCTACAGAACTCCTCCTTGAGCTCCCTGCCCACACACCTGCCCTCTCCACCCTGACTGTCCTAATGAACCTGGTCACACAGTCACCTAAGGAGCAGGTCATGCAGCAGGTGGAGCAAAGAAAGGAGAGAAAAACAATCCCTTGGAACTCACACCCATTCAGGCCAGATGAGTTCACCTTTTAACAACTTAATGCAGCCTTTATCCATCTTAAATAGCTTTGACAGCTGGGAAAATTAAGATTATGTCAGGACTCTGGTTGGTTTTGAAGAGATTATAAATCCTCTTATTTCAAAAGTGCCAAGTGAAAGGTTTATAAATCCTGTTAAGAATTTTAGCTTTTATCCTGAGAGTCACGGTAGCCATTGAATGGTTTTAAACAGGAGTGATGACCTGGGCTGATGTTTTGATCTAGAAAGAACACCCTGGTTTGGAAGGCAGTAGGAGATATATACATACATATATATATATAATTTCAGGGAAGAAGGGAGAGGGAGAGACAGAAACATCCATGATGAGAATCATTGATTGGTTGCCTCCTGCACGCCCCCTCCTGGGCATGTGCCGCTGACCGGAATCGAACCTGGGACCCTTCAGTCCGCAGGCTGACACTCTAGCCACTGAGCCAAACCGGCCAGGGCAAGGTTTCACATTCCCCACACAAAGAAAATGAGACTTCCTGGGAAATGTGAGGAGCTCTGGGGGCCTGGGAAATGGGTTGGGAAATGGTGATAAGGAGTCTTTGAGCAATTGTGGATCTGCTGCAGTTTGGAGGGGTGGGCATGGGCGGGGGGGCAGTGAGATCTGAGTTTCTTTGCCATGGATGTGAGGGTAGAGGGAAGGGAGAGGCACAGAGTCCCTAAGAACCTGTAACTTTGCCATTTTACTGAGAACTTGCACATTGAGTTACTCTTCATTGAGCTTCATTTAGTAGCAGATTCAATACACAATTTATAATTGCACCTTATTGATTTACCTAAATTTGCAGTTGTTTACAAGTCCATGACTTACTTTTTATTCCTCCAGGGCCAAGACCCACAGATGCCCATAGGAGGTTCCTCTGCAACAAGGGAGAAAGCCCCAGGCAGCCTAATGAAGCTTTCCCCATTTCTATCCTTGGGCATTCCTCAGGCTGGGCTTCCCTTTGAGGGAGAGGTCTGCCTGGGGCCAGGGAGGGGTTGGAGGTGGGTAGACCCCAGAATCATACCATCTGGGATTAACTCCCAAGCAGGAGGTTGCACCAGAGTCATCAAAATGCTTTCTTCCTGTGTAATCACTTGAAGGGCTAATCAATGATTGTTCGAGGATACTCCTGATCCCTCCCTCTAACACAGTGGTTTTCAACCTTCCTAATGCTGAAACCTTTAATACAGTTCCTCATGTTGTGGTGACCCCCAACCATAAAATTATTTTCGTTGCTACTTCATAACTGTAATTTTGCTACTGTTATGAATCATAATGTAAATATCTGATATGCAGGATGTATTTTCATTGTTACAAATTGAACATAATTAAAGCATAGTGATTAATCACAAAAACAATATGTAATTATATATGTTTTCTGATGGTCTTAGGCGACCCCTGTGAAAGGGTCGTTCAACCCCCAAAGGGGTCTCGACCCACAGGTTGAGAACCGCTGCTCTAATAGCAGACTGCAGAGTAGGCCAGTAAATCCAGTTCTATTTGGGCTGAGAGGACAAGTGATTCCCCAGCTCTAAAGGCTGAATGGAGAGCAGGTAGCAGTGAGCTCCTCGGGAGGAGCCTCACAGTCACTAGGTAAATGGGGTACCTGTAGCAGCTTTTTGATCCAGCCATTTGCTGCTCACTCACAGCTTAGCGTGAGTAAAAAGTGTATCACCTAGAGATTTAAGAGAAGATATCAAAATACCAAGCAATTTCATATTTAGTAGTTGCCAGTACAAAGCATGAAACTTTAACGTTTTTCTTTTTTTTTAAAATATATTTTTATTGGTTTCAGAGGGGAAAGGAGAGGGAGAGAGAGAGAGAGAGAGAAAAAAACATCAATGATGAGAGAGGCTCATTGATAGGCTGCTTCCTGCACACTCCCTACTGGGGATTAAGTCCACCCCCTACTGGGGACTGAGCCCACAACCCGGGCATGTGCCCTTGACCGGAATCAAACCTGGGACCCTTCAGGCCGAAGGCCAACGCTCTATCCACTGAGCCAAACCAGCCAGGGCAACTTCTCTTTTCTTAATGGTCAACAATTGTTTAGTGATTGTCTACCATGGGGCAGGAACTCAGCCAGCAGGCACTAAAGACCCAGAAATCAATGACACACAGAGTAGGAGAGGACAGATAGAAGGAGTAGTCTCTCCCCTCCCCCTGCCTACATACTACAATTTGTGATACATGCCTTGTAATAATATTAATATCAATAATACCTAACATCAATTGGGTTGACTATTTGCCAGGTGCTGAACTGAGTGGTCTTCAATTCATCCCCTCATTTAGTCCTTACAACTCCATGAAATAGATGTGTTTATCATCCCCACTTTAAAAATGAAAAAAAAAAAAAAATGAGGCACAAAGAAGTTAAGTGACTTGCTAGGAAAAGGCAGAGCTGTGGTTTGAACCAAGGGCTGGCTCCAGGAAGCATGCTCTTGACCATGAATGAAGCAAAGAGCAGGGTGAAATAAGGACTTGCCTTCGGATGGGAAGATCTCTCTGCCCTCCCTACACCCTCAGCCTTTCCCTGCCTTTTTTAGCCCAATTAGGATGGCAATACCATTGACCTACTGACCTGACCTGAATATCTAGGACTGGGGTGGCTCTGAGTCAGAGCAGAAAATGCCAGACAATTTCACATGTAGCTGTTGGGTTATGAAGAAGGATTAAGAATGAAGATAGGGTCAGGGACAAGATAATCGTGCCTTGCCAACATAATCACATCCCCTGCACGCTGTGATAAAAATGATTGAGTCAGAAGGTTCTGCTTTGTGCAAGAGTCATCTGACTCCCAAAGAGGCCACCCAGGGTAGTGGTACCTCAATGAATGTCCACAGATCTGAACCTGTTTCACAGCCAAGTCAGTATCTTGAGGTTCATGAGTCTGGACGAGCCTGACCCCCAGCATTCCAACTCATAGGAGTCTGAAGTATATACCCATTAATTTATTAACACTTGGTGTTAGCCCTTCAGTAACTGGAATGCTCCTGTGGCAACTGGCCACCCTTTTCCCAATACCAGCAATCCCAGGAAGCCAAATGAGTCATTAGCAGGCCGGTTGGTGGGTGTTTCCCATGTGTTAGGGGAAGAAGATTTCATCCAAGTCAGGGTGGAGCTTAGTGAGTCATCTCCGCCTCATAGGGCACATCTGTGTGAGCTCCAATTTCATGTTTCTCTCTCCTGGGCAGTGGTGGGTAATAAAGTGCCAACTTCTGGCCTTTTGGCTTTTACTCAACTTTTCTTTCCTTCCTCTTTACTCCATTCTTATCCCTCATTCTTATTTCGTGTGTTCTCCATAAAATGCAATGGATTAGGTTGATCATTTTATTGTCATCACATTCCAGCCCTGGCCCCCTAAGATGAAGTCAGGGAAGTCACCTTGATGGGTAGGCTGGTTATTCCCAAGCTTTCGTTTAATACTTTCCTTTCCTTCCTCTTTCTCTACTCCATTCTTATCCCTCATTCTTATTTCATGTGTTCTCCATAAAATGCAATTGATTAGATAGATCATTTTATTGTCATCACATTCCAGCCCTGGCCCCCTAAGATGAAGTCAGGGAAGTCACCTTGATGGGTAGGCTGGTTATTCCCAAGCTCTTCATTTAATTATGGATTTTTTGTTTGTTTGTTTACTCTCAAATACATTAGGTTGAACCATGTGAAATTGCAATTTTGGTAGGTTACAAACAATCAAATAGCAGCAACTTCATGTGGTCCAACTAACAGCAGACCAGATCCATTAGGGGGGGTGGGCTTAATTAAGTCCAGTGCTCTTTTGCAAGCCTTGGTGGTAGGCGTTGCCAGGGGAGCGCTCATGCATGGCAGATTTTTCTGGAAACAAGCTCTTCGGGGTAACTACTTGTGTCATAGGCCTTATTCCTCTTGCTGCCCCTTTATCCTCCAACTAGGGCCTAATGTCAGGGATGGGCAAAGGAGGGACTTCAAGTTGAATTCTTTGTTATGTGTGACAGAGTATGTGTTTTGAAGACAACAAGGAACAATTTTGAGGAACACTTTTATTTATTTGTTTATTTGTTTATTATTTTTTAATCTTCACCCGAGGGGATTTTTCCATTGATTTTTAGAGATAGTGGAAGAGAGAGGGAAAGACAGAGAAAAATATTGATGTGAGAGAAACACATTGACTGGTTGCCTCCTGCATGAGCCCTGACCAGGGCCTGGGCCAGGGAGGAGCCTACAACC